GTGATTTGAGGTGATGCTATTTTTCTGCTCTTTTAAGTCTCTCTAGTTGATGTGGATATACTTTATAGCGATTCCTTCTCCCGCAACGTGGTATTCAACTGTTTAATGTTTTTGCCTGAAATTTCCAACCGGATGGTTTCTGTAAATGGTAAGCACCCCAGATCAAGGTGGTTTGAATTTCTCGTAGAAATTCAAATTATGTAGTATAAATTATTTATAGAGACAACAGAATAACAAATCATTTAGGTATATGGCGTCGAATATAGGATGATCATGTCTAATAATGCTTTGTCAAAATGATCGAAATTCTTCCCCATTAACTTGTATTATCACGGCTAAATTAAGTCAAATGAACGGCTCAAACCTCAAAATTTGAATAAACTAGAAAATTAAGATACAAAAATTAAGATACATAATTAAGATACAAAAATATACGAGAGTTATGGTTGCTGTGCAAAGTAGCTTTGCTTATATCCAAGGCGTACAAAGCATGGCTGCTAAATGGTCGTCTGACTTCATACAAAAGCCTTGCTAACTTTGCTAACTGCGATACTTAAACTTAAGCCGTAGCCTGAAAAAAAAACTGTTCAAATAAAAACGTTTTCAATGTAGTTAATTTAAACACACATTTCACCCACTACCGATTGTTTTTAAAACAATTCCATGTCTTCGGTTTATTGTTTTCGATTCATGCAGTTAGGACTAGTGCACAGAAGTACAAATGACCACCGTTATCACATAACACATGCAGTCAAGACATATGCAAAATGTTTTGTACACAATACTATCCAAATTATTATACGCCAAGGATTACGTGAAAAGACACTGACCAATAACACTGACAAAAGGTAAGCTCGAGCGCGATTCCTACCTCACTCCGTTCGCGGGCTGCCGCCATTTTTCCTTTTGGGTAAAAGCTACGTGTTATTTCTTCGCTTGTGTTGAAGGAACTTCATGTTCTCGATCGAAAAGCAACACTTTGTTCACTCGTCATTACATATTGTAAGTCGATGCGACTACAGATTAAACCGCAGCCATTCTCAGTTATGTTTGCCTAAGAACTTACATGGATCTTTGGTGTAAACTCGTCTCCAAGGAGAATCGAATCTAGCTATGCATAATTTATGATTGGCAGTTCAAGTGAGCAAATGTTATCGCAGAATTAACTTATTTCCGCGGCTTTTTCACCCTAACTCTTTGTCTTAATCACAGTGTTTTTATCATCTATAATTAGTGACCAATTCCAAATTGTTCGCATTGAACAAAGACGAAAAGCGATGATTTTGTTGAGCGCTGATCCGGTGTAATTAGTCCCCGGGTCAGTACAACTCATTAGTATGTCACGCTTAGTTAAGTTCATTTCGCGCTTTGTTCTAATTTATTGTCACTTTAAAATAAAATCGAGACGGACAATCTATTCCCTAATCCAGCAAACAATAAGCAGTGCTTGCGTCATTTTTAATACCGAGCGGCGAATATAACAAGCTCAGGAAGTTGTGACGCCGCGGCAGTCTCAAAATATAACATACCGATGTTTTACACAAAAA